ATCTATCTATCTATTTATCTATCTATCAATAAGTCTATCTATCGTTATCTATGTTATCCACCTACAAAGTAGTACAATACAATAGATTTAATGACGTCACAGAACATTACTTAAACGCAATCCCACATCAGCACTCATCACCGCCATTATGTCTAAAATCGTCATTGCTCAGCTCTCAGATCCTTTACTTACATATATAATCCTTGAATCTCTATCTGGAACAGTTACATGGCATACTAAGTATGGACGTAATACACGTTTGGACACTATCATACGCACTTTGTTCTACTAATCAGATGGCGTCAGTCTCATATAAATGGGTAAGGGATTTATTTAATGACGTCAGAGAACGTAACGCAGAGTGACAAATAGAGTACGGTACGAGATGGGCTTGGTTTTTGTTTGTTTTTGGTTATGCTGGTTGTTTTAGCTGGGGGGGGGGGGGTGCCTTTCTTCGAATGGACCAATTCAAACTGATAGCCCGTCTCTTGACTTGTGTAATAATTTAGGTGAAAAGAAATAAGAGACTAATTTATTAATCCAGGTGTTTTCTTTCAATTTTAAAAAAAAGTCAAAATGGGTTTAGTAATACAATAACGGCCATGTAGTACCGTGAATTTGCAAGACAGAGAGTCAGGAACGACAGAAGAGCAGAGAAGAGAGTAAAGAGAGATAAACACCCAAATTTGTTTGTCTCAGGCAGAAAAAAAATTGTTTTGCAAACATTGTTGTTTAATTGTTTTGTTTAGTGTAATTTGTGTTAAAATCACTCTTCAATTTTACTTCTGTTTTTACATTTTTAAACGTCTTTTAATCTACAACAGTATGAAAGTAAATGTACTATCATTATTGTTAACTTATTTTAGGAATTTGGCACGTGGGACAATTTTTGCTTTCGGAGAAAGAAAAAAAAGGGGAAAATGGGGTGGGGGGTTAGTGCGATTTCCCTTGCTGCTAACTGAGACGATTTTCACTGGATCTGATGATGTCACCACATCGGAGGTGAACAAAAAACAGACTTGATGCAGAAAGAAAAGTACCAAGAAACAGAACCCGTGTTGGCTCACGAGTGCGATTCAGTGTTATGATTACTTCCCTTCCAATAGATAAAATTATATTATATTA